TAAATAAAAAGAATAATATATTCCATCCCACAATTTCAAATGTGTGTGCACTCCTTCAAGTCACCTATAGGCTTATGATAACCCCATGCATTTAATAGGTTTTTCCTAAGTAAACAAGACTCAGAGGTGATTTTGTCAGTTCCTTCCTCTGAAATACAGCCTTGAGCACCTGGTCTTCATTTGCAGTCTGCCATTCAAGTACTAACCAAGGCAGAACCTACTTCACTTCAAAAGTTGAAGCTGTTTGGTGGATTTAGGGTAATACTGCTCTAAACCTATAACCAAAATTTGACTTGTTAGTTGACTGTGATAATCAGTTCCATCTTCACCTCCAACAGATGCTTCATGTTGTTTGATTTCCTTTTCCTCTGAATACACAGCACTTTAAGTTACCAAGCAGCAGCCTTTCCATAAACACACCTATTACAAGTTATGCCCATGTAACCCTAGCTTCTCCTGTCAACAAGTCTTTTAGAAATATTCAGCTGTAATTCACAAATCTTTCCAGATTCCATACTGATTGTCAGTATTCCTTACAATCTTTTCATAAGAAGTTAAAATGTTAATGAGTGTCCCATAACCTCTTATTTTCTCAGTACCTATCTCACTATGTTTATTCACAGGTAGCAACTTATTTTACTGAGTGACCAAGGAGTCTGGACAAATAGTACTGAGACACAATTTAAGAGGAAGCTATGGTCACCTGCTAAAATGTACCTGATCAACATGTAGTTTGGATGTACTCAAAAGAACTTCCTTAATGGTGGTTGTGATTATGCAGAGCAATTTTGATTGAGTGGTATCATAGACATCACAGTTATGCGTTTGTGGATATGTGTAAGTGGAGAACAGCTTTCCTAGAGCTACATTTTGTATGATCTGACATCAAACAGGGTAACTGCTTCGTAAGATAGGTACAGAGGATCCCAGTGTTTTGAAAGTGATAAATATGCTCTTTCCGCCCTAGTGGGACTTATCAATTTATCTGTTGTGATAATTTTTATTGTTGACTCTCAATGTTAATTATGAGTGATTTTTTTTTATCAAGTCAGGACAAGTATATTACCTCTCTGCCATGCTGCTTTGAATGTGCCAGTGGTTAGAATCCAGTTGTACAGGTGTTCTAACTGAAAGATAAACTAAGAATATGTAGCTTTCTTACTTCCCTTTCAGATTGGTTTAATTCAAGTAATGTACTACATGTTGTTCTTTTCACTATAAATGTTGCTACTAACCAGCGATAGCATGATTTTGAATTTCACTTGTTACAAGTCTCCATATAAGAGAATATATTGGCCACTGTTACAGCTCACTGGTTTTAGAAAGTATTAAACCAGTCCTGTAAAACGAAGCCCTTGATTAAGGGGCATGCCTCCGCTTTATGAATGTCTAAGACGTGGGATTCCATCTGAAATTCAGGAAAGACCTCTTTATGAGACTACTCAGTGTGGTATGGTTGTGTCTAAGCAAAAACTTCCTATTGCATTTAGATTTCCTTGTGGACCTTCCTTTTTCACTCTTAAGGTTACAAAATATGTATGGGTGAGCTTTTTCATGGACACCCAGAGTATAGCTATTATAGCCTTTGCACAATAGCCTTATGATTCTCAGTTTAATGACAATAACAATCTGTTTTGTCTGTCCATTATCATAGGATAGGGCTGGAGTCACATGTTTTCCTTGTTTGGAGACATAACTACTGTCTCCTAGTTCAACATTTGAGCAGTCCTGTTTAGTAGTGCTTGCCTACACAGGAGAGAAAGTATAATATAGAAAATACCACAAAATAAGTAAAATGTTCACATACATTGTGTGTGTATGCATGAGAGAGAGAAATTTTCCTTGGCTCTTTCCTGTTTCCAAGAGAACATGGCTAGATACTCTAACTCCTACCCTTGAAAGCCTTGAAAGTATTTGGTGATAGCGGTTGAGAGAATAAAGTTTTATATGCGTGTGTGGTGTTGGTGTTATTGTAAGTTTCAAAATGGAGCTAGTACAGGAGATATAATTACCAGTCACGAATTATATTGCACATTACCCAGTAGATGTTCATATGACTTTTGCCCAATCCCATTCCATGCAGCAATTTCAATAAGCAATAAATGTACAATCTAAGGGAAAACATCCAGGGGAAATACTACATTTGCAACAGTACCAAATGCAGTGCTTCTAAATGTTGGAAATGCAAATCGTCCCATCAAAAGGTTCATCTAATATGTGTGTATTCAGCAACGAAGCAGAATGAATACACATTACCAAAATAGATTTAACCAAAAACCTCTTAAGAGCCCATTTTCCCTGAGCAATCTTAAGTCAGAAAGTATAGGGGTTTTTTTTACTAATGTCCATACTTAAAGCTCAGACCATATATTGCATGTTATAAAATGTTTTAAAGGCACCTTATGAATCTTCCCAACTTATTGTGGTTTGTCATTACTACCAACATTTTGTGCAGGCTGAAACTGCCTGACTTTCTCATAGGTACTCAGTTTGTTAATTTTTGAGAGGAGCATTCCAGATTCAAGTAAAAGTTTCATGATTTAATGACACCAGGGAACCCACCAGACATCTGGTTGACAGTGTATTGATTTTTCACCTTCAGGTTGAAGCCATTCTGGTCAATATTTTTGGTGGAATTGTCAACTGTGCCATTATAGCCAACGGCATCACCAAAGCCTGCCGAGAACTTGAACTGAAAGTGCCTCTGGTGGTCAGACTTGAAGGTGAGTTTATGGTATTCTTTCTATATATATTGTCTCGTTTCATTTGTACTGGACTCTGATTTTTATTTGCGGAGATGACTGACCACATAATGGAAAATGAGAGTCAGGGGTACTGTTGCACAGAGATTGTTGCTTCAGAGAACAGATGATAAGAAGGGCATTTCTGTGTGTTCAGGACCACTTACCCTGAAGCTCCTTAACAAAATTGTTGCCTTTGTATGAAGTGGAAGAGGCTGCCTCTTCACCAGTACTGAAGCTAGAATTTGGCAGTCTTTTTGCCTCCTTCAAGTTCATGTATTGTTATTATTACCACCATTTGCCTTGGGACAGGCATCTCCAGGGCCTGAGCATCATTTTTGAGCACACTACAAACTACCTGCATTTACTCGTCTAATATGCCATCGAATCTAATGCGCACCTCAAATTTCAAAACCCAGAAACCAAAAAAGTATTTGCTGGCTAATGTAACATGCCGTGGCAAAAAGTGACCTCTATAATATACCCATTACAGTTGCTGCCTGCTTACAATTCCATCTTTAAAAACAACTGTGTTGAAACACCAAAGCTTTATGCAATGCAAAAATAACATTGGGGTGCATCTATGCTGTAGAATGGATCCCTTTTAACTGTCTGAGTTCAGTGCTATGGAGTCATGGGGGCTGTAGTTTCACAAGGCCTTGGGCGTTCTCTGCCAAAAAGTGTGGATGCCTCCTGGGATTTGTAGATTTGAAAAGCTACAATCCCAGGATTCCATAGCATTGAGCCATGGCCATTAAATTACAGATGACATCCCTACAATAGAAGCCCAAAATGTTCCTGAAGCAGCCTATTGCTTTGGCTCAGCACTAAGATTTACCCTATTATATGACTCTAATGTGCACCCTAATGTTGGCAAGGTGATTTAGCAAAAAAAAAAAAAAATCGAGTAAATACAATAATCACATGAGCCCCATCCTACACCTTGGATCCAATTCCATTCTGGAAATACATTAATTGGTTGGCTATTATAGAAACAGTGTACCTGACTTGAAAACCTTTGGTCTGATCTGACATTTGCTCTTGCAACCTTAACAAGTAATCTGAAGTTCAGTTTTCCCACAACAGTTCTCTAAAGAGAAAGCCTCAACATATTGTTACCTTTTCTTGAAAAATTCAACTGTTTGAATGAAGACTCAAAATTATAGTCTAGCCTTCATATGTTTTCTGCAACAGACACCTTAATTCCTTTAGACATTTCAACTAGGAGCTTCTTATCCATTCATCAAGCCAGTTATTGACTGCAATTAATAGCTTATGCTATGTAGTAATCTATTGGCTCCACTCTAACAAATGGAGAGATACTTGTCTGGGCAAGAAGGATAGTTTCCAGCCTAAATCTTATCATTAACATTGTAGATCTTAATGGATCCTAAAGAAACCCATAGCTGCTATTGCACTAGGTTGGAAAAAATTTCTGAAGGGATATGACTTAGGCAAGACACATAATTGCCAAGTTGTATATTTTCACTGTTTTTCTGCTGGTCAGAAGGAGAACATATGAGTAAATGACTGCAGAAGTCTACTGAACATTACAGAAAGGAATAAGAAAACTATACATAGGGATTCTTATGCAACATCTATGTATTCTGCCTGTGTATAGGATATGTCACTGCAAAGTTAATCACAAGAGAATTCATGCCCTACCTTCAAGTTGTTTCTGACTTATGGCAACCCTAAGGTGAACCTATCACAGGGATTTCTTGATGAAATTTCTTCATCTGAAGCTTGCTATCATTTCCTTCCTCTATGGTTGGGAGAGTGTGGCTTGCCCACAGTCATGCAGTGGGCTTTTCATGACTAAGTGGAAATCCAAGCTCTCTTCTTCAGAGTCATAGTACAACATTCAAACTACTTATCTCTGGTTATAATTACTTTCTTACAGAAATGACAGGAAATTTCAGTTTCTCCTATACTTCTGTACTTTCTGTGTGCATCTTACATTCAGTGGTATCTTTGAGTCAAAGAAATATGGTGTTTTAGGCCATTGGAAAGAACTTTTCTGATTCTTGGTGTTTACCTCAGCATCATGTGTGATACAGTCAACAGCTCACAGGCTTCTGGATCATTATTAATAATAGCAATAACAACAACAACACAACAATACTTTATTTATATTCCACCCTTCTCACCTCGAAGGGTACTCAGGGCGGATCACAGTACACATACACAGCAAACATTCAATGCCGCTTTGTATAGACAATACACAGATAGACAGAACAGAAAGGAGGTGCGTTTTTTCGACTCAGTGTCCTGCTGTTTTTGGTGCCAAGGAAGGTGAGTCCAGCTACAGGGGGTGCTGTTGCTCCATTCTCAATGACGAAGAGCCGTCAAGACTTCCTCCTTCCTTTTGATCAACATAAAGTCAATCAGTTCATACACTCACTGTTGCATGTATGTCTATCTATTAGGGGTGTGCACGACTCAAAAAAATCTGTTCTCTTTGTCTTTACAAAAATCACATGACTCCCATTTTGATTCTAAAATGTTTTGGGAAAATCATAAAGGGTCAAGGTCATAACTATTCCAAGGGGTTTTTTGTCAAGTTATTCTCCCATTCACACCAATAGAAACACTAACGGGGTTCCTCCCTCTCTCAGTTTTATGGCTATTGTGATGAAACTTGTTACAATTGTAGCACACATTACGTAACTTTCCCAAAAAATTATAGGTAAGTCTTTCAAATTGTTAGTTTTTGTGTGGATACCGCTCACGTTTCAAAAATGGCTTAGAATGTACAGAACTTCTGAAATACAAACGACATTTGACGCACATATGATTTTTTTCTCAGTACTAGTATTTATGTATATATTTTTATTTAACCTTCCTTTAAAGTTTACTCTCCATAATCATATTTTCTTTGTTCCATATTTGCTTCTTAATCATATTTGTTTTGAATTCCCATGTTAATTTCAATGAATGCCATTTTTTAAAAATGGCCTTCATTGGTGGGGGGACAACAATGTAAAAATAAGTTGAAAGAATATAATTCTGAAGATGGCAAAAAGCCTGTGTTTTTGGTGCTTTCCATTTGATACATTACTCTAACAAGAGAGGTCATGATTATTCCTACAAATCTAACAGATTTGTGCCCTGGACCCCACATGCAATGTATTACAAATGTCTTGATGAGTAAAGTTTTAATCAGTCAGATCTGTCTTGATTTAGCAGGATTTTCTGGACAAATCTTTTCTTTTCAGCTGTATAATAATTACAAGCTGTTTTAGCAGTGGATAAAGGAAGGATTATTCTCCTGTTTGAAAATGGTAACTTTATAATTACATGTATTTACTCGCTTGATGGAGAGAAAGAGAGGGAGCACTTGATAACTTAGAAGCAGGATCATTTGTTAAGAAGCCCAAAGTAGCTGAAAAAAGCATATATCCTATGTTGTAATTTCAGTAGATGAAGCTATTTTTGTATTGCAAAAATACAGCCTTTCTTTAAGTTATTATTCTATTTTGAAAATTTTCTTTCACATCTAGTTTAAAAAGTACTGTATTCAACCTAGATGTGAATTTATTCACACAGTAAATTACTACATGTGATTACGAAATAATTTTACCAGTTTCTTATTTGTATTCCAGAAATCCGTACTCCAGTCTAGAACTTCAGCCTATGTATGCACACATTATACTTGGCACACATATATAATTGTGGTGCACTTCAGGGTCTCTACATTCATTTTAGTAGAGCAGTGGTTCTCAACCTGTGGGTCCCCAGATGTTTTGGCCTTCAACTCCCAGAAATTCTAACAACTGGTAAACCGGCTGAGATTTCTGGGAATTGGCCAAAACACCTGGGGACCCACAGGATGAGAGCCACTGCAGTAGAAGGAACAGTTCTAGCATCATTTTGATGTGTGCATATAATTTTAATGTGTGGGTTCCCTCCATTTGAATGACTATCATAGATAGAAGAGTTGCTCAAAGAACTGCTACTTAAAAGTGAGAATCCCATTCCCAAATCCCACCCGCTTAGTACAATGTTGGGGTGCTGAAAAAAATTGGCAGCAGTAAAAGTTTTCTGGATGCCACTTAGTGGCTGTTTTAGAGACTTACACAAATCTGTTGTATAATGTTCCATAAAACTCATAAAAAAAGAAAAATCACTCTGTTTAGCAAGCAAGCCTTGCAAATGCTGATTTGTTATCAGTGATTGATTTTATACTTATTTTATATAGCTATATACAGTAATACCTTGACTTAAGAGTTTAATTTGGTCAGTGACTGAACTCTTAACTCAAAACAATTATCTCAAAGGGAATTTTCACATTGAAATGCTACTAATCCATTTTGCCCCACCCACCCCCCTTTTTGTTGCATGTTTTTAAATAAGAAAATGTACTTTATAAATAACTAATGTATAAATGCACATTCAGAATAAAAAAGAAAGATTGACTTTAAATGGTAGAAGCACAAAGCTGTGGCAAGGAAGCACATTTGAAGCAAGAAAATGTGTGTTGTCCAGTGTAACAGCAAGACAAAACCTGCACATTCACATGGAACACTAAAAAGAAATAAATATCTATTTTAAAAATGGTAGAAGCACAAAGTTGTGACAAGGAAGCACAAAGCACAAAGTGAAGAGGTGGAACCATCATTTTCTTCACACTGTACATATATCAGCCTCCCTCTCTTGCTCCCTCTCCCTCTCTCTCTTCATGAAGCCAAACATATCAGGGATAAAAGCCACATGAAATCAACTAACCCAAAGTTCCTGAAAGCGGACAAGACCAAAGCAGACAGCAGTCTCCCAAATTGGACAAGAGCACGAGGCATCGATGCTGCTCCCTTGAAGCCCTAAAGCCCTGCCTTGTCAGATGTGTTTTCAGGAAGAGATAGTGAGCCTATATACATTAACCAAATGCAAGGCAGCACCAGAGGATCATGTTCTCCTACCTCTGATGGGCCAGTCTTGGTCTCAGCTCCGTGCTTTGACATAGTCGATACATGTGACAACCA